ATAATAATAATAATAATAATGATGATGATGATGATGATGATGATGATAATGATGATGATGATGATGATGATGATATATCAAATGAATAAAATAATATGAGGTGCAATACTGCTTCCACATCAGTTCCTCCTCTTCATATTAACGGTATTCAATGCAAGCCAGCTTAAGACTCTGAGAGTGAAGTTCTCCCATAAGCTTCAGCTTCTGAATTTTCTTTCCTCCTCTGCACAGAAATCATACTACTTGGCGTTCTGGTATATCTACACGGCTGGTTATGCCATATCTTTAGTGTCTCTCATTACTGCACTTCTCATCTTTGCGTTCTTCAGGTAAATACCAGGATGACTTTGGGTGATGGTACTTGCGTCTTGCAGTTCTTCTCCATCCTTGTAATTCCTTGTAATTCATTCTCCATCCTTGTAATTAAACCATTGTCTGCCAATTGGCTTTTTGACATTCTCATGATCCTTTTCACCCTAGTTTGTTCTGTGGGTGTTTCACAGGTCCATGGTTCCCAAGTTGCTTTGGGAGTAGGCTGGTGGGGTTCATATTCAGGAAGCCCCTGTGTAAAATGGTCATATGATGTCCTGAGATTGGACAAGGTCATTTGGAAACAAGAGAAAGGATGGCCCTAGCATTCAAAAAAGGCAGAGGGGGACAATTCTAGACCTTTTAGAGCACATGAAACTTGCCAAGATTTTGAGGAGGACAGAAGTCACATCACCTTTTGTATCGCTAAACCCACAAAATTAAATAAAATGAAGTAAGGAAAACACCTGAAGGGCCAGAAGAATGCCAGATATTGTGAGATTTAATTTTGCAACAGATCTCCAGAGGCCCGTAAAATCTCAGAGGAGAAGGCCAAATTCACAGAGTTTATGGTGTTAACCTTCCTCTGGGGCTCTGCAGCTTCTCTGAGTTTCCATCCCTCCAGGGCTCTGCAGCACCTTCCCATTTTCCCAGTAGCTGGCAACCTCACTGCCTTTCCTTCTCTCCAACAATCTTCAACCTCCCTGGTTCCCCATCTCTCCAGGGCTCTGCTCCCTCCCTGGCTTCACGTCTCTCTCATCCCTCCAGAGCTCTGCATCCTTCCTGGCTCCCCATCCCTCCAGGGGGTTATACAGGCTGAGATGTGTGGTCAGCCAAGGAGGCTTCAAAGACATGGAAGGATGTTCTCCAGAACCCAACACCATTCACAATTGCACCTTTCACCACCCAAAGAAACCCCAAAGCCAGTCTCAAGACCCCTGAGTATAAGATAGGAAACCACACGCCTCTTTCCCAGAGGAAGAAAACTTGGGGGAAAGCACATGGTGGATTTCAGGACTTCATTGGCTAAAAGAAAAACTCAGTTGCACGTTGTAGCTTTCCTTTGCAGATCAACCTTTTTATTTTCTTGCTCCATTTCAGGAAGTTTCACTGCACGAGGAATTACATCCACATGCATTTATTCGCCTCCTTCATCCTGCGGGCGGCTGCGGTGTTCACAAAAGATGCCGTTCTGTTCTCAGACGACAGCATGGACCACTGCCTGATGTCATCTGTCTGCATCTTTCTTTATATATCCGTTATTCGATTTCTCTACGTTTGTATATCTATATCTATTTATCGCAGCTCTAGAAACTGAGGTTTCCCAGGGGTAATTAATGTGGAATGGGATGGTCTTTGGGATGTAGGCTAACATTTTCAAAATCTCATCTTCAAAGGGAAAGTGCAGAATGTGGGTTTGTTTGGTTGTTTTCGTTTTGCTGTAATGGTTTGGCTTCCCATATGGTAAAGGAATTTTACGCCATGGTGGCAGCTCGCCAAAGCTTATGGTCTGGTCTGTATAAAATTGTACTGAGCCCCCTTGATAAAGGAAGGCCTCCTAGCTTGAAAATAATGGTCTCATTTCATGTTCATTCCTTAGGTTACCTGCAAAGCAACTTTAGCATTTTTCCAGTTTAGCATCCTGGCTAACTTCTTTTGGCTGTTAGTAGAAGCGCTACATCTGCAGACCCTGTTGCTACTGGCCTTCATACCTGACAAACTGTATGCCAGGAGGTTCATCCTGATTGGTTGGGGTAAGGCAAAACCCTTTTTGGATTTCCTCCACTCATAAAGGTAGACGTGAAAATGTAGACCAACCCTTTGTTCATCCGGGGAGCTGTCCAGCTTCTACTTGACGATATCCAGCCAAGGGGACACAACCAGCTCTCTAGGTCTTTGGTTCCACGGTTGAACTGCTCTTATGGTTAAGATGTTTTTACTAAAATTCATTTTGAATCTGCTTTCCTCTAAGTTAATCCCATTCTTCTGGAATGAAAGAAAAGAGATCTTGATGTTCTTCTGTGTGACCTCAGGTCAGGTCTTATGATGTTTTTCCTCAAGGCTGAACAAGCTCATCTCTTTCACAGGACTTGACTTCTAGTCCCCTGATCCTTCTTATTGCTCTTGGCTGGAGCAGCTCTGGTTTCTCTGAATTTTCACTCTGTGTGTGTGTGTAATGGTGTGTGGGAATGACCCTGGAAGACAGGGGGAAGAGTCGCAGACTAGGCAATGTCAGATCAGAGGCAGCTGAGCCCTGAACAGGAATGTGGACAGGACAAGAGGCTCAGAAGGGACCCTCCCTAGTTTCTTGGGCTGTAAAGGCAAGGAGGGAGAGATGTACTTTCAGACTTGCAAGATTTTGTTAATGTGACCTCACAATAAAGTAGAGCTAGTTCTTCTGGGTGTGTTTCTCGTCTGGATTACCTCACAAGGCTGACAATGTGTAAGCATTTCCCTCTTGGACAAAGAAGGGCCAGAAAAGAACAAAAGAAGTTAGACCTTTAAAGATGGACCTGAATAGAATGACACAGTCAACTCCCTGAGATGTTGATGATGACACTAATACATCTTCTTTCCATCTTTTCTGTTTAGGAGCACCCATAACTGTAACGTTGGTATGGATTCTGACTAGAATCTATAGACAGAACACTGGGTAAGTACTACTAGTAGAATTACACTTTCACATACTAGTTTTGCAAGAAGTTCCCCATTTTCAAGCACCCTAACAAATTTTGAATGCTGATTCTGGGCAAAATAAGACCCCTCCTGATCCTTGCTTGGGCAAAACTTCATAAGTTGCAGTCAGAACATATACATAACTTCTAATCCAATATATTAACTCTTTCGCCCTTTCAGTGACATTTTGATTGCATCTATTCCTCTTCGACTAGTTGATCTAATCCAGTGTTATCCAAACTTGGCCACTTTAAGATGAGTAGACTTCAACTCCCAGAATTCCCCAGCCACCCATGGCGGCCGGGGGAATTTGAGAGTTGAGGGTCACCCCTCTGAAAGGGGCCCAGATTGGACCACAATGCACTT